CGTTGTCTAACCTCAAAAAGCCGAAAGAGGGTGCGACTTTTTCGCGTTTCGCGCGGCAAGACGCGAAAGGGAACTCACGACTCGGATTTCGTCCAAACCCACCAAGCCTTCCATCCCTCCGGAGCCAAATAGTCGATAACAGATACACTCAAAAAAGAGTTACATCGCCTTGCTCAAATTTACATGGTGATCTCCTCAAGTCTCAGGCTGCATGGGAGTCTAATGAGACCACAATTGTTAATGGAAGTGAAATGAGCGGCGCATCCTAGACCTCTTCAACACTTAACGCTTTCTTCATTCTTACAACACCAGCATCAACAGCAGCTAAATGGTCTCCGCGACAGTGATGAGAATTGGAACGGCGCACATTGAGAATTGAACAGCACTTTACCCCTTGTAACAAAGCCCATTTGAACAGGAACTTTGTTCTCTGAAGCTAGGCCTCGCGCAATCGCGGGCTCAGAACACGTAGCATCCAACGGTGCCAAGAGCACCAGTTAGTTCACGTGGTGATTTGCTCGAAGGGAAAATAGTAGAGCGTGTGCATGCTTGTTTTCGCTATGAAAATCGATTTGGGAAACATTTGGAAACCAAGTACAAGGCGCATTCATAGTCGGTCGTCCGATCGTAACGATCGCACAGATCGGATGCGTATTGATCGTTAGCCGTGTCCGAGGACTGACGACGTTATGATCGGAGGAACAACTTTGGATGCGCCCTAACAGTCCCTTCCAAATGATTTTGGCGGGCAGCGCTCAGTCCAAATGTGGAAGTTTGAGTCACTTCAACCCACACACTTGTAAGAGAACGTACAAATCACAAATCAACAAACACCGAACTTCCGTTCACAGGATCGTTCGTCAACAGAGGCTACCGAGAGGAACCTCTGTTCCTGTACTTCTCGTTTCGCAAGTGTTCGAATACAACAACATCACATCAACTTCATCAATATCGATCGAAGCGATAATGAAATCAATGACAGGAGGTAGTTTGAGATTGTACAACATAGAAACAATGACATGATTATTACAGTACAATGTTAGTATTTTATGGCGAGAATCAATTGTAAGAATAATGCGTAGGTATTAGAGAACAGGTATAGCTCAGATCTATAGTCAAGCTCTTTTAGTAGCCTATTCATATTGAAATCGATAGAAATCTGCTTCTCTCGCTACTCTCCGTCATCTTTATGCGACAGCAGGATAATTCACTGATATGGCTGGTTTCCCGTTGTTTCCTATGTGGTTCTCTGGAATAAAAAATATATTGCCACTGAAAGCTGATGGAAATGTGATGAATAGCGAACTACGACCTACAGCTGACTTTGATGTAGGAAATGTTCGAATTAAAGCTCTTGAAATATTGAAAAAATAGTGAAATGGTACTACCGAAAGGGTCCTTAATGCAAGCATCAGTTGCAAATGAGTCGGCCGTTTCGCCAGCAGGATCACGGAATTTTACAGGATCTGCGAATAATCACGGAATTTTAGGACTGCGAATAACCAATGTCCAAAGCCAGCTCCCAAAATAACGGCGGCCGCTGCAACACTTTCATTTGGTTATATAAATGAGTGAAACAAACAGCTGGTAAAACAGTAAAGAGGAGATAGTAGGAAGTTTGAATTGAAAAAGGATAGAATGACGCTCTCAAAACTGAAATAACGACGGACTGTTCAAGCAAGCACCTTCTCCCCAATACGTAATCGAACAATAAAAAACAACAAAATAATTTGAAACCCGACTGAGAAACAACCAAAACTTCCTTACTTAGCCATGTATTATAGGTCATGACAATCAACATAAGCCAGTAGGCAAGCACAAGTTGCACGACGTAAAGGGATGCTTGAACGAGCCGAATCGTAGAGCAGGCAGACGAGGAAGTAAATGGGCTATAATTGAATTCTTGTTATTATTTTGCTCATTCACTCTGCAAGCTGAGCGCCAACTATTTTGGAAACAAAATAATACAAAACTAGCATTCGAAGATGAAATGATAATATAGAATCTCTCTGGAAACAACACATTGTTTCCAGATAGCTGTTCATGTAACTTTAAAAGTGAAAATGCTTCAAAACATCGGCATATAACCAAATAAATAATTATCAAAAAGGAGAAAAAGCGTATACGAAGGATCCGCAAAGATTGATAAATTTATTTTGTGTACTTTCTGAAAAATATGATATTTGCGACTCTGCTGGAGTAGCATGCTATACTCCCCTGCGAGAAATTCGTTTGGTTTCTGTATAATCTTTCCGTATAATCTTTCTATATAACCTCCATGCTCGACACATTCTCTGCTTCCCGTCCATAGCGGACATAGGAGATGGTCGCAGAGGTGTAGCGGATCACATGAGAATACCTAATGGAGGATAAGGAACGAATAGCATTAGGGGAAGGGAAGGCTCCAATTTGGAGGATACGTAGCATGAGGCACTTGGTCAGAACTTTCCATAACTAGGGGTATTATTGGGTACGCAAAAATGCACACTGCAAAATTGGACTGAATGAGTAGAATTTGCTCTACCGATTCGTATCAAAAGTTTACTTAATGAGCACGCTATCAATGTTTTTGACCTTACGCTAAAGATACTTTTAGCATTAGAGAAACAGGGCACAATAGAGTGCCGCGCCCCAAGTACCATTTTCACCTTGAAGTCCTTCCAAACGAGACCAATCAGAAATCAGGAGCTTCTCTGAAGTGTCAGACCAATTCTTCTGGATATGAAAAAAACAACCCTCTTCTTCCTCCGAACCATCCAAAAAATCTAAACCTCCAAAAAGAAAAACTGATGGAATTTCTGTTAATGTTAATGAGTCCTTCAAGAAAAGGAGTAATATAACGGTTGTGTAAATGAAAAAAACTGAAGTAAAGGAATTATTGTAAAAAAAAAGATTCAAGAAGATATTTTCGCGAACTTCAGCAGTGTGGTTCGACAGACATCGCCTCATCCAGAAGGAGTAGCAATGATATTTTGAGCGTAAATTCCCCTTATTTGACTATTCGATCATTTCACAACGGTAAGAGGCTCCAAGTTATAAGAAAAAGTTGCTGGGTAAAAAACACAAATATGACGAGTGCGTACCTCT